TTTTTTGATAATGTGCGCTCCAATTATTATTCATTTTAGAAATTAAATTTCTTTGTTTTGCGTTTAATTATAAAATCGAAAGTCGTGGGTGTTATCAATGGTTATCAGAAAGTACATATATATTATGTAGATGTGTGTTTATGTCTGGCTACTTTCCGGTTGTCAACAAGAAATCCTCTGTAATCAGAAGACTTTGTGCTGCCAGCCTTCAATCTAACCTATCAACCCAAAAATTACTGCGGTAAAAATAAACTCAACTTGTTTACAGAACCCTATTTTTATGTTCATCGACTCATCTCGTTGCTTTTAGCTCAGACCAAAAGAGATGTTTCCCGATGACATAATAATTATAATAATAATATTATAATCGGCAAGGGTTTGTGGGTGTGTGCTATTTTTTAAACTAAATTTCCTCTCGCATGGGGTATACTGTATACGTATAGAAGTTTGCAGCCCACATAAGGAAATATTTCCAAGTATATGTATGTGCAATATTGTGCCAATATGTTCTTGATAGTCTAGACGAGCAAGGTTCTTTCAATATTCATGCGTGTAATACATATATATATGTATATACTAAATAAATACACTTATAAAGACTTCTCTGATTGTCCGTTCGTATTTCTGATCGGCCAGAAATAGTGCACCCATTTAATATCCCGCCTAACGAAGATTTTTCAAGAAATATCTATAAAAATTTGAGCATTGGAAATGTTTTATATCCGAAACTCATTGGGAGAGAAAGAAAAAACAACTTCCCTTTTCGAAGAAACAACTTTAACAGTAAATATTATAGGATCTCAATGGACTACATGAAATACACTCTTGCCAGCAATACGGCCATGATAAGCCGAGCTTTGTGTGACGTGATTTTTAGCACACGCGCCACTGCTAAACGATTCGATTCTGAGTGAGGTACAGGACGTAGTAGTAGTACGCCTGATGCTTTGGGAGGTAGTTGCCGATTAGTAGAAATATTCCATCACATTGTAGTTGAGGTGAACGCTTTAATGTATCAAGGCAAGCGAAAACTGAGATAGATCTAATCAGTCAACTGGCATGTGGTCTGAAACTGAAGCACGATGAAGCGTATCAAAGTCAAAATGTAATCCGAGTACATAATCTACATAATACGTTTAGGCCTATGGGCACAGGCATGACCCACCGACGTGAAAACTCTATAATAATTTGTTCACCCATGCTAATCGATGGTAATAACAAACGATACGAGCGGACAAAATTCAAAAACAAGAAATCTCAAGAGCGTCATAAACGTTAGCTATAGATTGGCCCTAATGAATCGATCAGAACGCACCGAACGAAAACGAAATCTATCAGGGGAAAGCGATGGGAACTTCATAAAAGAAATGCCCGCTATCAACCACTTGCTGGCTAGCGAGAACTTTGGACTGGTTCGACCAGCGCAGCAGAATAGCCCCAACATTGGACTCCCAGTCCAGGCGATGACTACGACCAGACGACGCGCGACGTCAGCTCACGTTTTGAGCGAGGTGTGGGTGATCGAGCCAGGAGGCGATCGACGACAAGCGGAACGAACGCCCCGAAGCCCCAACCGGATTTCGGATCGCTGTCACGAAGTCATCCAGAGAGAGGCCAGTCTCGTCTTATCTCAGTTCGGTTCTCCCTCTCTCGTTAGCTCTCGCTCTCCGGCTTGATGGAACGCCGAATAAAAAAAATTGCGCATCACTTAACACATCCCAACCACAGCGGAGCATACCCATACCATACCAGACCAGACCATGCCATGTCATACCATACCATACAATCCAACCAGGCCAGGGCAGCCTTTACGGTTGCTGCCGCCCATCGTCAAATTATTCATACGCAGACGTTCTGAACGATCGGACCAAAAAAATAAAATTATTAAAAGAAAAGAAACAAGAGGAAAGAAATTGGGAGACTATACAGATATTATCAATGAGCACTAATTCTTTAGGTGCCAACTGTGAATTCCTGTGAAAACACTTTCTTGTGAAAAAGTATCAGTTGTTTTTATTTAATGACAAAACTGCTGGTCACTCCCTAGGGCTCAAGTTCAAATGGTGAAATAAAATCAGTGATTTTTCTGTGCTGATGATTTGCAAAAAATTTCAAGCAAATAAAGAACTATCCAAGGACATTCAGGAAAAATCGGAAAAGAAAAACCTGATCTATAGTTACAAAAAAAGTGAATTATATATTAATAAGGTGAGTTACATAATACAATGGAGCATATTGGGACATAATAGTCCATCAAAGAAAAAGAAAAGTGAACCTTAAAAGATGTGGATGTAATCAAGTGGCTGAATAGTAGATTTTTCAATGGTTATACATCGAAAATATATATGTGATATCGGGAAGATTCAGAATTCCCCAGCACATGGAAAATTCTAATTAATTCTTATTTCATGGACTGATTAAAAATAATCAAGGCACTAAACGTTCCATCATCGAGGCCTATCACTTAATTAGTAAGCACTTGAGCCCTGATGCATATCGTTTTGGGAGCCATTTTTTGGTAACGGAAGCCATTCGAAAACTAACCTCCAAAAGCTTTCGGGCAACGTGTGCAAAAGTTTTTGCGAAAGCTTTTGGCCTGGATTTATTTGGAATCCTGAAATTTTTGTTCATACTTATTTTTGTTGGCATCAGTAGAGATCAGGGGAGCCTGCATTTCTGATGACTGTAGGGGAAAAAAGTATTAAGAGAGATTTATTTCTGCTGCTGGTGGCAATCGGGGCAATCTCCGGAACGGTTCCAAAGTTCACAGCGTGGCATGCTCCAAAGAGCTGATCACCGTAGGCAGCGTGAAAACACATACTCGCACAAGAGCGGAGCAAACAAAACGACAGATTTATTGCCAAAATCCGAAAGCTGAGACATTTTTTCGCAGTGCATTCAACTGCCGGAGAAGAAATGCAAGTGATAATGCCAGGCAATTACGATAGCCCCAGCTGCTGCCCCGTAATTAATGCGAAAATGATACGGCCGAGCGAGGCATGGAAAACCCCCAAGAAGAGTCGTCAAGCTGTACTTTGCACCCCACAGCGAGCCATCCGAACGTCTCCGAACTGAACTCAGCTCAACTCAACTCCAGTTTGCAGCAGCTAGAGAGAGGGCCTGAGGTCTGGCATGGCTCTAGCTCCAACTAAAATCACGCAGCGCCAGCGTGTACGATGACGTAGACCCGCCTTGAACGAGACTCTCCCCTCCCCTCAGCGTTAAGCGACCTTCTTCAATTGGGCTTCGCGCCCTGCTCCCTTCGCCTCCTCCTGCGGAGCTCCGATCGGGCGGCAAATCAAGTCGCACGCCATTGATTGATTCGTAGGCCTGATAAGTCGGTCAATCGTTACATTTCGTACAGCGGCAGGCTGAAATTACGTCAAAAATGGGCCGCATGTCGCGTGTTAGGCGCCGGACCCTACTTCCTGATCCCCCCTGGTGCCATGCTCGACGTCACTTCTGGAACGTGGCAATCAACGTAGATTACCCGTGGAAAAATATTCGATGGGATGATAGACTATGACCTATGCTGAAGGGAAGGACACAATCGAAGTGGGGTAGGAAGTAGGTGTGGGAAGTGGCGTAAGCCCCACTGGCGCATGTCAATTATCTTATATAACAGTTTCATAATATGTTCACCACACAAGCTCTTCAATAGAGAGGGGGGTATATTTTATTGTTCAGTTCTATGACGTTCAATCAATCAGTTCAACACTTTTCTCGGAATTATACATTTTTCTCCCTATTCATTTCGACGATCTAATTGACAATCTTCAACACGAGTATCAGAAAACCCCAGTTCGTGACGGGCGTGGACAGATTAGGCACGTGTTCCACTGAAACATTTAAATGAATTTAAACGTATAACTCGTGATTTTTCTTGGCATTCGAATGTCTATACATACGCGTATACTACGAATGTACATACATATGCACAGTTTTCTTGACCTTTACCGACTGTTCCACATTTAACAGAGAACAGAACAAAAGAAATGCTGGCTGATGAAATTCCCATACGAAAATAAACACACCGCCTGCAAAATGCCCGCTTTCCACACAAAATACTTTCATTTGAATTGGAAACATGTAAATTCCGAAAAGCACCGGCCGCCGGATGTCACATACCAGCTTAATCATTAGAAATGCGAATGATTTGTTAATCGCCAGCATCGATTACCCAAATCCGATTAACCGGGTTATAAATCACACAATAAGCGGCGTTAATTGGTGGCCATTTAGTGATGATTTGTGCCGTATTTCATGCACTCGTACTCGTATGTAGATCGGCCCCCTTCGCAGTGGCAGTAGCTCCATACAAAATTTTGTACTGACCAGAGCCACGTTCTACGAGACCTCTCCGAGACGGACGGATGGAGGGCCGGAGAACGCTTATCAGCAACGTCTAATTGATTGACACACAATCGAGTCGGATTATCAAAGTCGGGCTTGATTGTGCCTTGGGGTAATTAGCATGAATGAGTTTCTCGGGAAGATCATAAAATTAAATTCAAATGGCCGGAATATCCCCTCCAGGGGGCGAACAGTTGCCAAAATTGCTGTGCTACAGCCACAGTATAGGGGGCGTGGCGATGGCAGGTGGACAGAGTACAAAAATAGCACTGCAAGCAAGATTATGCAGTTCGGTTCCCCGACTTCTTTCAAAGCTGATGCAATGGACGCCACACTTTGCATATGCACTTGTCTTCGGCTCGCGCCATGAGACCATGGTCTCTGTCTGGCTCTGGCGGTGTCTGGGGGAAGTCAAGACCCAGCTAAGAGCACGATCGGTCGCCGGTCGCTCGGCACGGCTCGGCTCAGCTCGATTCGATTCGGATGGGTTCGGAGTGGCATTCGCCTCCGCGCTTTCTCGCTCTCCCTCTCGCGGAACGATCAATCAGAGGCGTTCGTCACATAAATTGTTCCACTAATCAGCCAACGGCTTCATTCATTCACAACTCGTTTGCGCTGTCGCATGTCAAACGGAACAGATTGAAAAGTATATGTACTCGAATGTGCAAACAATAGTACAAACGCGGCCCAAAACCGAATAAGTAAAGAGAATCTCCCGTTTCGTGTCCGGGTTCAAGCGAGCGGACCCCCCCAGATCGAGCGCCTGCCGAGTCATCAAATACCCATCCCATCAAACGAAGTGCGATCGCGGTACGTGTGTGGTCGTGGACGTCGTCCCTAATTGCCCCCTAATTGCACCTGCTTATCAGCAACTCTAGAAACTAGTGAACGACGATCATTTAAATCAAATCCTAGCCCGATTAACATTAAACGCTTCTGTTGTGCGCAATTCCACGCAGCACTTTTGGCTGTACTCAAAAGGCTGTACTCAACTGAAGCAGTGATAACGTCAATTAAATATTTCACATTCAAAACGAAACTAAATCTTCTGCCAATTAAATCACGAATCTCACAGATTTGCACTTTGCCGCGTTTCCAATTCCATTTAACAGTTGGATTGCTGACTAAAAGTGATGCAATTTTGCTAAAAAATTAAGTGAGATATTTTGTGTTGCCCTGCGATTCGCCAGTTGAACTCTGGACACTAGATGTTGGCATATCGATTTTGAAAATAAGTGGGGTAGCGATAGCTGGCTCGAAACAGCCAATGAAATGTGATCCATGTATCTATCTATGTAGGGCAATAGAAGTACAAATTTGACCCCTTTTCGGGGGCTACTCAATTGTTGGTCAGCGTTTGTAAAGCCTATCATTTACCATAATATTCAGCCCAGTTTAATATTAATCGAAAATATAGATTGGAATATTCTTCAAGCAATAACCAAGATACATTTCCACACTCACTCAACTAATTTGTCGTCGTTCTCTTCCTATTTGCAGCTCGCCAAAAAATTTGGAAATCTCTGACAACCAAACATCATGCATTGTCCAAGCGTATAAGTCGTGTAACAAGAGTATAGAAATCCCATTAAGTATCCAGAGTGGTTAAAGAAGGCAGCAAAACGGCAAAAATAAGTGAATTCAGCTGCAAATCTATGAATTTTGTAAGCCAGAAAACATCACCCATTGAGATTTTAATGCTGCCAAATAGATAGCAATCAGCCCCAAACGAGAGCCAGAATTGCGCGAGAAAGCAACCCATTCCGAATACAAGCCAATTCCCATTTTGAAGTCCCTCCAGTGCACGACGAGCAAGAGAGAAAGCCCTAAAAATGGCCAAATATTTCATTACCTTGGTGCTGCTGCTGTGCCTGGCCCTGGAAAACAATAATATCTACAATCGTCTGCACGCCCGGTCCCATCCCAGCTCCCGCGGCGACATCCTGCGCCCGCACCCAAAGCACCTGCCCCACCAGCATGTCCAGCACACCTCGCAGCAGCTGCAGCAGCACCACATCCGGCAGCAGCGATCCAGAGAACTGAAACACGTGGAACCGGATCCCACCAGCGAGGAAGAAGACGCGAAGAGGCAGTACTACACGAGGCTGAGGAGGCATCAGCTCCATCAGCGTGACCATTTCCTGCAGCAGGAGAGGAGCTACAATCACCCGGCGCTGGCGGAGCTGAAGAGCATGCCCATGGCTCGACTGTGGCAGCACCTGAGCAAGGACTATGAGGAGGAGCTCCCCGTGCAGCACGCTGTCCTCGCAGATGGCCTTATGGACTATTCGCACATGTTCGGCGACGATCCTAATACGGCGGCCACTGCCCAATACTCTGACGAGGAGTCGAACCTGAGTCCCTTGTTCTATGTGAGGAATGAACTCCGAGATCAAGAGTTGGAGCTGAAGCAGCAGAAGCAGCAGAAGCAGATGAAAATAGACCAGGAGGAGAGCCAGGGACCAGAGCCAGCACCTCCAATAGTGGCTGAACCAGCGCCAGAGACAGAGCCATCTGAGCCCTCACTCAATGCAACCATCACTGCAAAGTCCTCCGGAGGCTGTCCCAAGTGCGAGAGCAATCGTCAGGTGGAGCACATCACCGAAGAGGAGCTCACACATCTGCGCATCGAGTTCGTCAAGCAGCAGATCCTGGAGAAGCTGCGTCTCAAGGAGAGTCCAAACGTGTCCGCCGTGGAGCTGCCGAAACCCATATTCGAGGGAGTGACGCTCAATCATCCAGATGATAGCAGCAAGAACAAGGAACTAGACGATTATTACGCCCGCACCAGCAAGAAATTCATACTGCTCAATAGAGGTGAGTACCCGCGAAGAGACTCGGAGCACAGCTCACAGAAACGAAACTAATCAGAGCACTTCGCTTCCGATCGTGTTCTTTCCAGAGGAGACAGAGTGCAATCGCCTGGGTGTGCATCCCTCAATGTGCTTCAGCTTCAAGATCGACGACGCCGATGCCGACGGTTTCGATGTAAGCACCGCTGTGCTGTGGCTCTTCAAGAATAAGCAGAACCACACCGCCAGCCCCATCGATGGTCCGCTGTCGAACAACACCAAGAAGCAGCAGACGATTGTGGTTTCCGAAGTGGAGGAGCAGATGGACTCCAAATATTTGCCGCTGGCCAAAGCCATAGCCATTCAGTCGGTGGATGTCCAAGGTAAGCTAATCATAAGCTAATCCTCAACGGAACCAAATAATCGCAACATTCAGAGAACCTTATCCGCAAAGGCACGTTTGGACCTTTGCTCAGCAGCAGAGACACAAAAAGTGACCCCCAATACCCCTAGGAAAGAAATCAAAAACAGTGACATGCTCTATATGCTATAAAGAAATTATACTAATTTTACGTTTTAATATTTTCTGCCCGATAAGTGGCAACGTTGACAACCGCTCCTCCTCCATCATCATCATCATCAGCATGTTTGTGTTTTCAATTAGAGAGATCATTGCGCAGATTCGTGATAGCCAGCCGCCTGGCGGATTGTGGGTGAATAACTTCACAAAATATGTACATATGTACATAATATTATTGTTGTTTTCAATATGTTGTGGGTGCAAAAACTGAACTTTGGCCGCTGAAAATGCGAGCCCAGCTCCCAAATTGGGAGTTCCTTGGGTCAGCGCAGAGATAAGGAGATTCGGAATAGAATAAAAGTCAGAATAGTCAGTGTGAAAGATGAATGAATCGAATGGTGCATAAAAAGCTTATAGGACTTAAACTAACTTTTAAATGTTAATTTTTGTATCTCTTCAGATGAGTGGATGAAGATCGACATCGAGTGGCCCATCAAGCGCTGGATTGGTAGTCACGAGCTGAGCCACCTGATCCAGATCACGTGCGAGTCGTGCGATATCAGCGACATGGAGGATATCATATCGGTAGACAAGGACTACCGACCGTTCATAATGATCGACACCCAGAACCGGCGCAGCAAGTCGCGGCAAAAGCGTAGTATTAACTGTTCCAGCGGCGTGACGGAGTGCTGCCGCGAGCAGCTCTACATATCCTTCAAGGACATTGGCTGGAGCAACTGGATCCTGCAGCCGGAGGGCTATCACGCCTACTTCTGCCGCGGCTCCTGCAGCTCCCTGGCGAGCGTCACACAAGCTGCCTCCCACCACAGCTCATTGTTGGTAGGTTCATTAAAGACACACGACTACTGTGCGATACTGTGATGCTGATCAATACGAAAATGTCCTTGCTTCCACAGAAAATCCTTAACACAAATGGTACAAACAAGTCCCTGGAGCTGGTGCCCTGCTGCACCGCCAAACAGTATTCCTCGCTGCAGCTGGTTGTTATGGACTCGAGCAATACGGCCACTCTGAAGACTCTTCCAAATATGGTGGTGGAGTCATGCGGCTGCAGATAGTCTCCCCCATGCCGCCATGCGCCATGCCCATGCTCCAGGCTATGCCCCGCTGGCATCCAGCTGGCAATCAACCAAGCTACACATCGACAAATTAGACATTACTCTCGCTCCATTTCCACTCAGTTAGCAGTTAGCAGCTAGCGCTCCACTCCATTTCTCTTCAATTAATTTAAACTCATTTTCAATGCATTTTCATTAGCGTTAGCCAATCGTTATCCGTAGTTATTGTTAGTGCCCATACTGCCATTAGTTTTAGTCGCATTTAGTAGCAGTCTTTAAAGATATTGTAATGTAAAGCTCAAGTCAATGTACTTAAGCACTCGAAGTATGACGAACTCTACTTTAGTTTAGTTAGGAAATGGCTCCAATTAATTACCAGACATAAATAAGTTCGTGCCTATTTTATTTTTAATTGTCGCTTTGTTTAAGATTATGTTCGTTGTTTAAGTAGTGTGTATTAAGTGATTGCGAAAAAACACATTCAAAAAGTGGAAAAATAAAAAATTATGAAAAATTACACAAATAAATTGATTTACATTTTCAATGATCCAAATTACTTAAATACGAAATTAATGAATACTCATTGATACTTATAATACATAATCGAGCATTTAACGACTCTGGGACTCTTGAATTTCATAAGATATTTAAGACAAGCTCGACTGTCCATTCGTTTTGTTGAGCACCTAAATCTCTGAGACTGTCACAGCTATAAAAACCAGATTTTATATGACGACTCCTGTGAAATTACACTGAATGCCACGAGTTCTGCGACTGCCATCATCAAGACTGGTTTTCTACTAGTTTCAAGGGATACGTCAAATAAGTATTCATTGTTCCATATTTCATTGAACAAAATTTAAAAAAAAAATCAACAAAATTCCAGAAAAGTGTATCAAAATTATATTGTAATCCTCGAAAATTCATAAATCATGTCTCTTTCTTCGAAAAGCCTCTTGCGCGAGGGCTCAACACATTTGACCCATATCTGCGAACTGGATCTGAACAATCAAGCCTCACACCGTCGGCTAACATCGATTATAGCGACTATTTCCGAGAGCTCGCGGGATCCGGATACCATATACAACATGCTGATGAAGGGCGTGAACATATTTCGTTTGAACTTTGCCCATGAATCGCACGAAGCGCACACCCAGACCATTGAGTTGGTCAATGACGCGCTGGAACGGATCAAAAAGGAAACGGGTCAGAACCGAACGGCTGCGTTTGCGGTGGACACTCGAGGGCCACAGATCCGGACGGGAATCCTGGATGCCGGCAATGAGATACTGATGCGCAAGGGAGACAATATACGCCTCTCAATAAACCGGGATCTGTATGACAAGGGAAACAAGGATGCCATCTATGTGGACTACCCGAACATAATCAATCTCACCAAGCCCGGAGATCGTGTGTTCATCGATGATGGCAAGCTGTTTCTCATTATTCAGGAGGTGGGTGTAGATGGGCTCATTTGTGAGGTGATTCAAGGCGGGATGTTGGGCAACAACCGCAACGTTATCCTTCCGGAGATCGAAATAGACCTGCCAGCCGTATCAGAAAAGGATATGTTTGACATACAGTTCAGCATGCAGGCCAATGTCGACTTTCTGTTCGCCTCGGCCGTTCGAAGCGCCAAGAATCTGAAGGAGCTGCGTGCCGTCCTGGGGGAGAAGGGAAAATACATTAAGTTAATTCCCAAGATAGACAGCAAGATCGCTCTAAGTCGTTTCTCAGAGATAATGCGTGAAGCGGACGGGATTCTCCTGTCGCGAGCCGATCTGGGAACCCAAATACCTGTCGAGAAGCTACTCATCACCCAGAAGAGTATCTTGAGCCAATGCAATAGGATGGGCAAGCCCTGCATTCTGAGCTCTCAACTGCTGGAATCGATGCGGTTCAATCCGTTCCCAACTCGAGCCGAATCCTTCGATCTGGCCAATGCCGTCATCGACGGGGCGGACTGCATCATGCTCTCCTCCGAGGTGGCTATCGGTGCCTATCCCAACGAGACCATATCTGTGTGCGATGAGATTTGCCGAGAGGCTGAGAAGATTCTCTGGTATCGTGACTTGTTTTCCGATCTGGTCAGCGAGGTGCGTGGCGAGCTGGACGCCGCCCATTCGCTGGCCATTGCCGCGGTAGAAACGGCCAAGCGCACTAATGCTACGCTCATCATTGTCCTGACGACCTCCGGACGGTCGGCGGCTCTGGTCAGCAAGTTTCGGCCCCGCTGCCCCGTCATGGCGGTGACGCGCTGCGAACGATCCGCCCGCATGGTGTATATCCATCGAGGTGTCGTTCCGGTCCTGTATACAGCCGAGCCAAGCAGTGAGTATGCCGAAGACGTGGATGAGCGGGTTGCGTTCGCCCTGACAGTCGCTAAAAAGGGGGAGATGATCAACGATGGCGACCCCATTGTGATTGTCAGTGCCTGGAAGAACGGCGGGGGCTTCACCAACAACGTGCGCGTTGTCTACGCATTCTTTGAGGCCGACCGCGTCGATTGTCTCTTCAGAGCCGACCGACGCACCTCACGAAAGAACACAGCACTGCAGGCAGAAAGTGCCCAAGAAGGTAAGTAATTAATTTGTAATAATTTGCAAAATACAGAAATATTCTCACTGGGGCTCTTTTTTCAGAAAAGAAAAGTGTCCGCGTGTGAACATTCATTATGGAAAAATATTAGTTAGATCTAAAAAATATATGCGAATTTCTACTAAATACTATATCTTTTATTATTTATCATTTCGATTTTCGGTTAGACGCGCTGTTAATTTGCTATTCCTTTCGTTAATTTCTAGGGAGAATTTCTATTTTTAACATACGAGCATTCTTCAGAAAAAGTTGGAATATTTACAAAGAAAGGTGTATTCAATATAGCCTCTAGCGATGCGCAAATTGATGGTTCTATTAAATATAATCTTTAGTTGGAAGTATTCTTTCACGGCTAGTCCTATGTGCTATTTAAACATATTTAACTATTTAAACAATACATACCTAATCGTTACGGGAATTTAATCACAAAGAAATCCAAAAGCACTGCCCAAGTCATTATTTAAACTTAAAACTACCTGAGTCTTGGTAGGTTCTTTAGAAGTAACAGAGAGTGCACAGCATTTCTGAACAGCTCGTAGGCCAAGAAGGCGAAACGCCCATTTTGCTTGGGAGTGGCCCAACGCATTCCGAAGTTAAACAGCTCCAGAATTGCCAGGACAATGCAGCGTCGCCAAAGTGATGCATTTTTGGTGTCCCTAGATGGGATGATTACATTTAGTATATTAGAACAAGATATTGCATTGACTTACAGATTAGAGAGGGGCGATGCCAGAGCTATGCCCATGAGAATTCCCAAGTCGCGCACCAGAAAGAAAATGGGACTCGCCTCGTGTCGCATATATGAAGGATCTGGGCACCACTTAAAGGCCTGCAACAGAAAGCCAATAGAAAGAACGAACGGTTTAAAACCCATTGCTGGTCGTTGCTAGGAATCAGTATCTTCTCACACCTCGCGTACCGACCAATGCGGATCGATTTCCAGGCTAAGCTTCACAAAATACACTGCAGCGGCAAGGCCACCTAACAGGAACACTCCAGTCACTGCCCAGCGACGACGCCTCGACCACAAATAGTCATTCTTTTGGTCGAGTGCGTCCATAGCCTGAATGCCAATGAAAGTGCCCAGGACGCATTGGTGCAGAAACTCCGTAGCTAAGTACAGGCGGCTTAGCCACATGGAGAAAATCAAGCCGTGGACCACTGTACCGGCGAGCCACCGCTGGCGGGAGTGAGCGTAGAGGAACATCCAGATGGTAAGCGTGAACACCGTGAAGGACATGGAATGGGCACAGGGCATGCCGGCAGTCGTTTCACAGCTCAGCGGATGACTCTCCAATGCGACGCCGGGGCTGGGGCTGCGCACATTGCTGGCGTAGATCTCTCGGAGCAACCACAAAGGACGCTGCTCGGGAAGTATCCTGTGGGAGATGAGAGCAGTCAGTCGTGCATTGCGGAGTATGTGGAACAGGCGCGTACCACTTGGCAAAGGAGTTGAGCGTGCTGGCCAGACCAACCGCAAAGAGCAACCGAGTGAGCAGAGCCTGGCTGTAGATGCCGCACAGGGGAATCACCAGATTGAAGAGGAGTCCCGGCTCCATGTAAACGCTAAGAAAACGCCACAGCGGATCGCCAAGGCTCAAGCTGCAAATAAATTGAATACTCGTACAGACTCTGGAAGTGCGGCTTCACAAAGGATATCAACAGACCGCTCCTGCACCAATTCGTTGATGCGTAGCTCTGCTGTGACCACATGGTTGTACGTTTCCACAGCCAAATCCCAAAGATTTCCATCCATTTTACACTTTATTAAATTCAATTTATCCTTTTCTTTATTTATCCTGCGTCCAGCTGATTTCTAACAGTGCTGAAAAACGGCGCACGTTTTCTGTTTTTGCTAGCTAAGTGCATACATAACATACACACATATGTATGTATGTACTTTTGAATGGATGGCGCATCTGTGTGTATCGGGGAAACTATTGGCAGCTGAATTGGCTTCGACAAAAAAGTTCTTTATAAATTCTGAAGAAAATTTCTTCAGAATTCTCTGCAAGAAATGCAGAAAATTAATTTTTGTATTATCTTGTTTTTTTTCTTGATTTCAAATAAATAATAAGTGGTACCCCTACTGTTACTATCGATACTATCGATGTTTCCTTACCAAATTTTGCTGAAACTATCGATAGAGCGTTTGTTTTTGAATTCGACATGTGTAATTTATTCTTCATATATTTTGAAGAAATCGCCCCTGAAATAGGAAATCTGTGACGAACAGGCAGCCTTGAGTAAGACCTGGCGCTACAAAACTAAGTATTCTAGGATCCAGCATAAAAACCCGAAAAACTGCACTCCGACGCTAGTTCCAGTAAGAACGCACAAGCCTATATTGGTATTGGTAAGCGCTAAGAATATATTGCCGCTGCACCAAGCAAAAAATTAACTAAAACTAATCTCAAATTGCATCCAGAGCTTAAGCTGGACCGCTAGTATGACTCGGTTAGCCTGCGACTCATCAACCCGTGGCTGAAGCTGCTGAAGATCACGCAATTATCCCGGCTTTGGGAGAACGAGGCAGCTGGCGTTGTCCAATCCATCGTGCACAACCATCATCGACGGTTCAGTTGAACGGCATCGATTCAACGTAGGTAATAGCCATTCCATGTATTATTTATGTGCATTTAAGAAAACAAATTCCCTTTCCGGCCAGACTTCCAATTCACTTGGTCAAAGCTTGATATATTAAGCAGAACAGAACATAGCGCAAGAAGCCAAATGAGTGGACACGTCGTGCGGTAGTAGTGTGGCAAGGGCTGTTGTCGAGGAAAATAAGGAAAGCACTGATGGGAAGAAAGGCTCTGGGAACGACGACGAACGCAATGCGGAGGAAAACAAAGTCAGAACCTCACATACAACTGTTCTCGATTTAAACGAGGATTGCTGGATAGTGCTAATGGAGTATCTGGACGTAGAAGACCAGCTAAGGCTCGCATTATCGAACGTGAGTATCGGAAACATGTTCAGGAGATATTCAAGCCACCGGTACAAGCATTGAAAAACACTCAACGAAGATCTGAAAACGAGATTTGAGCCGCGTAGAGATGGATGGGACGATCTGAGCAGCCTGATAAAGCTCAGCCTGATAGCTTGTGTACGCATTTTGTTTAAAATATCAAGAAATTGATCAACTGGAATCTCTGGATGGGTCTTTCTTGGATGGATTCGATGCAAAGAGCTTGGTGGAGCTCACAAATTTGTGAACATGAATAGCTTTTGTTTTTTATTGAAGGTTTTAGAGAGAATAAGTAGGCGCTTACTCATTGGAAGGGGTGGCGAAGTTATGGAAATTTGACTTTTTCATATTGGCTATAATAATAATCCGATCTCATCTGCTCTCGATTAGTAGATATGGTCATTCTCTACGAATTTCGGTTTTCTCATATCTTCCAAATTTGGGATGCCACACATTTTTTTTCCCGAATATTGTAAATACACCTGCAACAGTGTGATATCACAGGAGTCTGTATAACTTACAAAAATCATAGGCTCACATATGTTAATACATACTGACTGATTACCGGGTATAAAAGTAGAGCAGCGGCTCTTGCCGCGTCTCACAACGTTCCCGTTCGTTTTTATAATATTGTATATTCAAATTAAGTGTAACTTTTAATAAATAATGCGAACGGTTTACAAAAACTGATAACAAATCATATTTTCAATAAATACACATTTACTCATCCATACATACACATATCGCATAAGTAGAGGCCGCTTCGTTGTTCGTGTTGTTGCTATTTTTGCTGCTGCTGCTGCTGCTGTGGTTGCTGCTGTATCAATGGAATTTCTAGTAAGAAATGAAGTCAGAATGAACTGCACTAAAAAATCTTGACTAAATGATGGTTTTACAAAGTAAACTATGATTAACAGAGAGCGAGCACGTACAGTACTAAATTCGCCTAAATTAATGAATGAACCTTAAGAATAGAATTAGCTTTCGTTTGGAGAGAGGAGCTGGCAGGGCAGGTATGGATGGATGGATGGATGGATGGATCGTTGCAGCTGATGCTGGCTTAACCAAAGTTCTCGAAATGGTGAATGAAATAGGGCAACTTGCGGGTCTTGTTCACCTCATCACAGGCAGACATGACGCTCTTCGTCAGCGGTCTAGGGCCGCAAGAGAACACGCCGATTTTGGAAACCTACAAAACGGAATACAAAAGAATTAGTTAGTGGCACTGTGGCAGAGCGATGGGAAACCCACATAAGAATGCTTCTTTTGGACGAACTTCAGGAAGCTGGACATGTCCGGGCGACCGAAGTGATTGACTGCCTTAAGACCCGTGAATATAGAGGTTTTGGACAGCCGCTGGAAGTGGTTCTCACAGATGTACTAAAAGAAAGAAGCATTTCTCGTATCAAAATAAATCAGATAGTAGTTGTTTGCCCTGAGACCCACCAGCATTGTTGTTCTTAAATCGAATTTGTGGAAGAACTGCGTGATAAATATATGTATCTCGAGGACATTGGTCACATCCTTCTTTTCCACATCGCGCAGCACATCGATGAACCACTCGAAGTGCTTGTGCGAGGGGCAGATCCACAGGAAGTACACCTTCTTGCAGGCCACGCCCGAGTATCGATTGGTACTCGTCCCAAACACCAAATCGTTCAGGATCGAGGCATACGGGGTGACTCCAATGCCACCGCCCACCATGACAGCCACCTCAAACTTGTACCAGTCCTGGTTGCCGCCCCCGAAAGGTCCCTCGATGCGTATCTTGGGCTGGTCCTCGGGATTGTAGTTGCAGGGATCGAAGTAGTTGCGCAGCTTCCAGGTCCACGGTCCCTGGGCCTTGATGTGGCAGCTGAGACAGTTCTCGTGCGGGGCCGAGGTCAGAGTGAAGCTGTGCATCTCCTGAGGCCGGAAGGCGGTGCAGGAGAGACGCACCCACTGGCCGGACAAGTACTTTAGGTTGGGCGGCCGATAGAACTTGATTTTGATCACATCCGAGGGTAGCAGATCTGTGTCTATCACATCCAGTGCCATGTACTTGGTGCGCAGCGAGACGATCTTGTCGAGGGTGTACACGATGCCCGGGCCCAGGAAGAACATCCAGAAGCGGGGTGGTCCCGTCAGACGAGCCAAGCCATGGACCAGACTGAGCAAGTACAGTCCAATGTAGAGGGTGTGCATGTTCCAGAAGAAGTTATACGCCTTCTTCCGAATCGTGGGGTGGGCAAACACAAAGATAATGCACATAATAATGAACAGCATCACTCCGGTGGTGCCCGTCACCGTCTGGAAGAGCCAAAAGGTGATATCCGGCTTGTAGTCCGAGGCGAAGTGCACCTCCCGCGTTAGGCAGCGCAGGTTCTCGTGCGACTGCGTGGACACGTGGTAGAAGTTCACAATGTGCCCCACCGTGTGCAGCACGGAGAAGAATAGAGCCGTGCACGCGGCTATCTTGTGGAACTGTATGTGCGAGTCCAGCGGAATGTATTGTTGTATCGGGAACTCCTTCAGCTTGGTGATCAGGTTCCTGGACATGGTGAGCAGCAGCAAGGAGTAGCAGAAGGACAGCGAGGCCGCTGATCCCCTGGTGATGGCGATGCCCACACCCATGATGTGCCTCAGGTCCGTGTGTTCGGCCATGAAGGAATAGTGGATGAAGCGCTCCACAAAGAGCACAATCGTGACCACGTAGAACAGGAACAAATAGAATATGTTCTGGCGGTTCTCCTCGAGGAACGTGATGTACGCATCCCACTTGGCCAGCACCCAGTGGCGGGGCTTGTCCTGCATCGGCTCTATGTTGAACGAGGTCATGCGAGCCACGTTCGTGGAGGTGTCCAGAAAGTTCTGCTTGGCCCCCTTGCAGTCCAGTCCGATGGCCACAAAGTCCCCCTTGTACTCCTTCATCATCAGCTTAAAGTCCTGGTAGGTGAGGTGGTTCTTGTGCTCCAGGCCGACGTCCTGGAACATGCCATCGATGAGCTCGGTGACCTGATCGTCGCCCAGACTGGTGGTCCTCGCGATCTCCACCAGGGAGCGCATCATCTCGCTCAGCTCGCCCTTATCGATAACGCCATTGCGGTCGTTGTCGCACATGTCGAAGATGATGCGCAGCTTGTCGTCGGTCTTGCCACGCGAGAACAGCACCACGGTCTCGAGGAACTCCTGGAAGCTGATCCGCCCGTCCTGGTCCTTGTCCACAATGTTGAACATCTTGCGGACAAACATGTCGTTGGGCTTCATGCCCAGGGCGGCGGCAAACTCGGCCTTAGACAAACTGGTCCGCATTACTGTCATCACCTCGCCATCGCTGGAGGCGTCCGACCGACGCCGGCGCTCGCCTGGCCGCAGGCCGAAGGTTAGGGCATACGCCTCGCGGAAGAAGTACTCGAGACGCTTCTGTCGACGCTCGCGGGTCTCGGCCCGGGCCAGCATTATATCACGGTTAACCTCCATCAGGGTCAACTCCTTTTTGTGGAGCAGCAGGAAGTCCTCGAGCTTCTTCACGAACTTGCGCCGGGCGCCGTAGGACTCCAGCTCCAGCACCAGATCATGGTCACTGGGCACACGCAGCAGGATGTAGGGCTTCTTCTTGATGTGGTTCGTGGCCGACTCCTCCACACTGACCACATCCACGTGCTTCAGGCTGAATGTGCGCAGCTTCTCCCCCTTCCTGTCCACCGTATAGATGGCAGCTTCCGGCCCGAACTTGACGGTGACCAGCCGCTTGTGGTTGGCGTGCAGCCATTCCCTCGCCAGCATCTTATCCACCGAGCCCTTGTGCTGTGGCGCCCTCAGCGCCTCCTGGCGTATCTTCAGCTTGCGCCGCTTGCTGTTCTGCAGCTTGACCACGCAGTAGCCGGCACCGGCGCACAGGATGGGCACGAATCCGAGGAACACGCACACGTAGATGAACATCAGCTCGGAGCCGGAGAAGTAGTCGTAGCCCTCCAGATAGGTGCAGGGCTCCAGCTCGGTGGCATTAAGCTGCATGGGCTGCGGACAGGGATCTCCCGTATGCCACATGAACACATCGTGCTGGATTTCGTCCACGGCTATGTCCGTGCTGTTCACTATGATGTCCCACAGGGTGATCTTCCGCAGCTCCTTAATCTCCTCCGGTGTGAAGATCCCGTTGCGCTCGTTCTCGAACCAAAAGCGGTCGGCATCGCGCAGACGCAGGAACTGCTCCTTGATCACAGCGGCGAAGAACTCGCCCGGCTGCCCATAGGACTCCAGCATGCCACCCACATAGACATCCACATCGTCCAGCTGATTGCTGTAGGCCTCCTTGAGCATGCTGAGGATGGTAAGGAATGTCCGGGGACGAATATAAAAATCAATATCTTCAATATGAGCTTCCACTCACTCCAACAGCTCCGGTTGCGCCTCAAAGAGCTGAGGATTGATATCCGTCCATGTCTTGTGCCTCTTCAATCCATACGATTCTCTGGCTGTGTTGTAGTCGGGCAGGCCATTGTCTCGACCCCGCATTATGTTAAGAGCTCCCAGATCGCGACGGGTAAACTCCATGGGCCCAAATAGTTTGTCCCGCACATCGGAGCACAGCACAGGATCCTCGCGCTCGGATATCTGCGAGGCCAGTCCCATGAGCACCTCCTCCACGCTGGTGTCGCTGAGGAAACCCTGCCAAATCGTTGATTAAACTCAAGATCTTCCAGCCGGAGAGTAATATGAAACTCACGCTGGAGTCCCACCACGTCGAGCAGAGGCGGATGGCCGGATAGCCCATTGGAGTCTGCTTGAAGTTGCACTGACCATCCCGTCGGTAGATGCCAGGCGGGATCATTGTGTGGCCAAAGCGAAAGGCAGCTGCCTGGAAGATGTGTCCGATGCCAGGATGAATGTCCTGCTTGTACCCCTCGTACGGTGGTAGGGCGGAGCCCAGAAACGCGGGCAGGTACTCGTAGGCAATCACATTCTGCAGACTGGCAATTACCGTGTGTCGCGCCCGCTGGTAGATGTCCTCATCGCTCCAGTCCGGATGCAGACGCTTGATGCGCTGGGCCAGGGTGTTGTGCCAGCGGAGGAAGAGGATGGCAAACGAGAGCACAGCGGGATTCTGATTGGTCCGGGGATCGCCAAGAACTGTCGGGTAGGAGATGAAAGATGAGGTTGAGCATTTAGCCAAGGTGGTATTGGTTACTCACGGAACAGCCTCTCTGGACTGAGCATTTTCATCACACTCGGCACCGGGTTGTTGAAGAGCGGCACTCTCATGGTGTTCCTCACCGGCAGCTTGCCATCCTTCTCGGTGAGGAGCGTGCCATTGTGGAAGGAGCGCATGGCATTGAGCCACGCCTCGGAGGTGCTGTAAATGAAACTGCCATCAATCCAAGCAGTCATTTGATTTATCTGCGGAGTAGGATTTATTGCGACATTTGTTCACATCAGTTGTGGCTCCAGCCCCCCGCCCCCACCCACCTGTTCCCTGGGCGCGTTCGGACTCTGTCCCGTGTCCCGATCGTAGGCGGCCCTGTGGAAGGGTATGTATTTGTCGCCCCGACACTCGCGATCGT